GAAGTCCTTGACTTAGGGTGAGCACTGCTGAGCAACACCTAAAACATCAGTGTGGTATCAACACTGTTCTCATACTAAATCCAAAACACAGCACTGTTCCAGCTACTGGGAAGAAAATTAACTCTATCCCAGCCAAAACCAGGACAGAAGGCTTTCCTATGTTGAATAGAGAATATATTCTTCCTTCTCATGTGACTTGCACAAGATTTTCCCTAATTCTTGCATGTGACTCACTGTGTTGTTACCAAGCAGCCCAAAAGATAAGAAATTCCACCTTTTGATCTTTTCTGCTGTTACCTAATCATTGACTGACAGAGAAGCCCCGGTCAGTATTCTGCAGGATCACTGGGGTATAATTTAAGTGATCAGTGTTCTTCATTACTGTTTTCTGACAATTTTCTGTATAGTAAATTGAATAGTTCATATTTTCAGTTTATCATCACTGGTATTTTAAATACATCTGCCATAAGCAGGACCACCTTTCCTAAAGATTCACATGTTTTCCGTGTAGCAAGCATATTAGCTTTTGCATCTGCTGTTTAATCAGAAAGATGCTTGTTAAGAACTGGCATTTGGAAAAGCAGATGTTAGTCCGGTGATTACAGAGAATGAGATATGCTTCAGGTGATCTGCCTGATCTTCAGGAATCTGTGCATTAAGGGGTAGAAATGGATTACATTGCTTCCAAATGTGTATTTTTTTTTCTTTTTTGATACAAAAAAGGCAAACCGTGCCATTTGATGTCTGCTAACTGCCAAACACAGCTCCCTTTGGAAAGGGGATGCAAGAAATTCTGCTTGGGACATGTGAGGAGGAAATATTTTATCAAACTCGGTAGCTTTTCCCACCTTTAGAATTTTGCACTTGTCATCTTTTCACACCATTTTTTATGTTCTTTGCATTTCTGTGGCCGATAGTGAGAAAAAGAAGGGTTTCCACAGAGGTAGACATCTTATTTTTCCCTTCCCTGTACTGTTCCTCAGCTCCTAAACTTCCCAGAAATTTTTGGCTGTGAAACTTTCATTTCTCTAATATGCAAGATAGAGTTTGTTTGGGCATGTGAAAAATAAAAATTAGTAATTTAAACACAAAAGAGAGTGGACCAATCTGGTCAAATCCTGTTCTCTCAATTACTTTTAGAGGAAGCTACATATCCTTGCTGAGGGAACATAGTGGGGAAAGGAAAAGAAGGCTTCTGCCATGCTGAGTGATTGTAAGTAGATTTCTCTTAAAGTATGTAGGTAAAACGGAGTTTATCGAAAGCTGCGTGGCATTTTGTCTTGATTTTGCCCAGTGATCTATTTGCTTGAATTTTCTTTTAAAAAATTATTACGATCTCGAACATGAAAGGAGTTAAAAAGAAAAATCTCTTTTATTTTTATCAGTATTATTTTAGGAGTGATCACCTTAAAGAACCAAAAAAGGAACTCTGGGAATAGGCTTTGCTCAAAGCATATTGCTCCCAAGCGTATGGAGATGATACGAAAGCTTGTTGAATTGCCTAATTCAAGAAGTTTCTGCCTAGTGGTGGAGATGGATCTAGTCTTTGTAAAAAGGCAATACGCTGATTCTCACTGTCTTTACATTTTGCTATTAGCAGTGAATCTTGAATTTCAAGGTTTTTTTTACCATGTTAGTTTGCACTATGCAAAATTGACGTTTCTTCTCGAAATAGATGAGTTTGCTGAGAAGGGCAGAATTTAGAATGGTAAAAGCAAAGAGAGAATCTTGGTCGTTCTGTCTTTTAAATTTCCTCAAAATGTTGAGTTTAATTGACTCACTGAAGGAATACTACACATAGTTACACAAACCAGCATTTAATTCTCTGCTATTTCAAACCTCCAAACTATTTAATAAAATCACTTGTGAAACAGGACATTGTTGAAAAGATAACAGGAAAAACAGGATCTGATAATTCGTATTGGCTCTCGGTAAAAGGGTAGAGGGTTATCTTTCTAAACTCCCTCCTACTCTCTCGTGTTGAGTATCTACTGCCTTTTCCTGAATATCTGACAAATGTTTTCTTAGTTACATGCATAGCCAGTGTGCTTCTAGTAATAACTCTCTCATTGACTTGAAATCACTGACTTCACCGAGTACTGTAGATAACACCGTGTAAGAATGTCAGTCTTCCTACCCTTCTACAAATCGGACAAATCTGAAAGAAAAATGTTTATTATGTCACAGCAATTGCAGGAATGAAAGTGAAGATGAAGAGGATCGGGAGTGCTTAAAACAGGCCATTACTGCTCTTCTGAACCTGCAGTGCAGCATGGAGCGCATTTACAGCAAACACTCCCCGAGACGTCGGCCCGGGTAATAATCTATAAAACTACCCTGGTTTCCCAAAGTTGGCAGAGAAGGAGATGAGTGATGTCAAAGGAACTGTAATTTTTTTTTTTTTTCTTGTTAGGTAATCTGTGTATTTCCTTTTCAAGGCATATCTTTATGCCGGTTTCCATTGTAAATGGAGTAGCAGCCCAAAACCTTCGCAATCTACTTCTATGAATAATGACAGTATCTTACTCCTTCCCTGGCCAAAGCAGTGCATGTGGCTTACTTGGAGCAGTAAACTTGGTTAGGGCATATTTAGGGCAAAGAAATAATGATGTAAACAATTAATTTAGTTTGGGTTTTTTGTCTCTTGGTATGGAAAAGTGGAATGTGCCCATCGTGACTTTTTCTTTTATTCATTCAAGGGAGCCAGTCTGTCGCTTCTATAACCGACAAATAAGAAGCAAGCACTTGGCCATCAAGAAAATGAATGAAATCCAGAAGAATATTGACGGCTGGGAAGGCAAAGATATCGGGCAGTGCTGTAATGAATTCATAATGGAAGGTGGCTTGACGAAAATAGGAGCCAAACATGAACGGCACATCTTTCTGTTTGATGGTTTAATGATCAGCTGTAAAACAAATCACGGTCAGTCACGGCTTCCCGGTTACAGCAATGCGGAGTATAGACTGAAGGAAAAAATTGTCATGAGGAAAATACAAATTATTGATAAAGATGACACACCTGAATACAAACATGCTTTTGAACTGGTATCTAAAGATGAAAACAGTATACTGTTTGCTGCCAAGTCAGCTGAAGAGAAGAGTAATTGGATGGCCGCTCTGATTTCCCTCCAGTATCGCAGTACTCTCGATAGGATGCTTGATTCGGTGTTACTGCAAGAAGAAAATGAACAGCCGCTGAGGCTACCCAGCCCAAACGTGTATCGGTTTGTAGTGGAAGACTCTGAAGATAACATTGTTTTTGAGGACAACTTGCAAAGCAGGAACGGCATTCCTATCATTAAAGGAGGCACGGTTGTGAAATTAATTGAAAGGTTAACGTACCATATGTATGCAGGTATCCTGTACATTTGTTATATGTATGGTTTTTAAGGTCATGCTTGTATGGGTGATAAAATGAATCCTTTTATCTTTTGTTTGGTTTTCTGCATATAGTTAAATGTAAAGCAAGATTTGCAGGGGAAAAAAAAAAAACACCAGTATGTATTATGAAATCAACTGGCTTTACTGGCAAAGCTGTAAGAAAATTTTGAGTATGCAAGCCCTTCACCCCGCCACCCCCCCAAAAAAGAAAGTATCAGTGGTCTAATAGGAGCCACTGCTGTGTTTCCTGAGACCATTGTGGCTAAAGCAGTGGTGGTGTTACAGGCTGTGTGACTGTGGAGGAAGAAAAAGGTTGGAGGTTATATTTATTATACTTCAACCTGCCGCTTTGTGAAGTCCCTGGGTAGAAAAGGATGCAAATCACAATCAGCATTCTTCAGACTTTCCTGTGAAATACAATCTTAAAGCCACAGAAATGAAACCTTGAAGAGGTTACATGAAGTGCTAATGTTGATGAAAATGTTAGATCTTAGGTTCAGGGTGAAAAGCGTGCACTGAAAGGGGACGCAGTGAGCCTGACAGAAGGATGCTGATGGAAGTGGTGTGCAATTTTTGTAAAGTTTCTCAAATAGCAATGGTCTCCTTTGTGCTTTTTACAAAAGTGCCTGGTATTGAAGTGAGTCTTTTTTGTAAAACTAAGGCTAGATAGTGTATATTTTTTTTAAAAAAAAAAAAAGGCATTTCCCACATTGAAGCTCAGTATTGATGCAACTAGTTTGTATGCAAGTAATCCGTGGTTGTGTTGACTTGGGACTCACAGACATTCATTTTTAAAATGTGATGGGTTTTGGTGGTGCGTAAACTTAGTTTTTTTTCCTGAATGAACTGGTATTAGTTTATTTGAGTATTAGTTTGATAGCGTAACTTCTGTTTTTACAGCCTAAGTACTTGTCACTTTGGTCTTGGGAATCTTCAATGGAAGTGTTGCCTCTTGGGTTTCTGTGTGCTTTTTCCAAACAGCGTTTGGAGCCAAGACTAACAAAATCCTCTCCCTCAGCCTCCACAAGGGCATTTCGATGACTTAACAGCACGTGGAGGGACTCTCAGCAGATCTTGGTGGTTCTTTTTTGTTCGTATTTAGGTCAAGATACGATTTTTTAAAACTGTCAGTTTATTGTAGGTTTGCCTTGGTTTCAGATTTGTTTGAAGCGGGCTCTGCTCCAGCGCACAGGCTCTGCGTTTGCAGAACAACCTCTGTCATGTCAAAGAAGTCCCCAGTTGATACCAAGATACCCTAAAGGAACCTACCCAGGTTAGACAGCAGGGTAGCAGCCCCCATTTTAAGAGAACTGCAGATCTTGTCTGCAGAGCAGAGATACTACCTGCCTGTTTAGTGGTAGGAGGAAGATTTACTTATAAAATGTTGTAAATACTACTGAAAAGTGAATGTAGAGGTGATGTGGAAGCAGAACAGACCAGCGCAGGACTAGGGTGCAAACTCAGCAGCATTATCACAGAATGAAAGCACTGTTGCTTTTAGCTTGCAAGGACGTTCCTATATATGGATCCCTTCAAAATGTTGGGCAGTGCTCTGCAGGGAATTTAAGCCTTCTTAAAAGCAGTGTTTGTCGTAATCTTTTGTGGGCTTATTGGAAGAAATTCACTGCCTACATGCTGAAGAGTGCTGGTGTAAGCTACCTGCCCCTAATGCTGACAGATTCAAGGCTATTTACAGAACAGCAAGAAAAAAGAAACTCCCAGCAACCCCAAATCCACACTTCTGAATGAGCATATGCACATGCACTTCTCGAGGCCCGATTTTCTTGTATTTCAGCATTCATTTGCTCCCAGGCAGCTCTGGACGCTGCTGCGTACTGCACAGTACCAGCGTCTTGCCGCTGTTACCCTTGTGAGAGGGTCTGCTGCAGGGGTGTCAGGATTAGGACCAGACGATGACCCTCTGTGATTTGTTTATCAGCTTGCTTGCTTATGATCTAAGAAATTCTGTACAAGAGAGTAGAACTAAAAGACATGAAGGGAACAATATTTTTCCTTTAGTACTTCTAATATAGCAGAGTGGCCCCAATAAAACACATGGTAGCGTGCTGATAGGCATGTCTTGTGGTGACACAGCTACCATAGCGGTGAGAAACGGCAGGAGGGAGGTGTGGTGGCTTGTGGAGATGCAATGTCTTGAACTGCTGCAGGTATTTGCTTTATAAGGTCTCTGCTGCTTGTCGTGTTTTCCCCGCTGGCTGCTCTGCAGAGGGTAGTTGTGTGATGCGGTGGTGTGGCTGGGGCAGGTGTGCGGTCCCTAATGCTGGAGATTTTTTAAGAACAGGTAAGACAAATGTTTTGTCAGGGTGGTATAGGTATTTTTGATGTCAAGAGAGTAGACAGCCTAGTTCTACCGTGTTTTCTTTGTCTTTATGAAACTATAGAATAGCTGCATATTCAGGGAACGTAAGCCGTTCCGCATGCCAAGACTGAGACGCAGTTTTTGAGAGAACATAGTATGTGCAGTTGAATACTTTTACAAGGGAAATGCATCAAAGGACTAAATGAAAATCTCACAAGCAGTATCATTTATGGTATTTTTCAAATTACAGTGCTTAGAACCTTAGTGTCTTTTCTCCGCTTTAAACTTCTTCTGTGAGTGTACGTGTATTTGATTTCTGATATTTTGCAGTTGGATAAAAAAACACTCTTATCATTTTCTTATTCTGTCTTTACAGATCCTAATTTTGTACGTACTTTCCTTACCACCTACCGGTCCTTTTGCAAGCCCCAGGAACTGCTGAGTTTACTGATTGAAAGGTAAGCAGTGGTCATCCTTTCTGAAGATACCGAAAGGCTTTGTGTATTTACCTGCTCCTTTTCTGCTTGGGTTCTCAGTGCCATGTGGCACATGTTTCAGTGAAGTTCATAAAACAGTAACTTTTAAAATGGCGTACAGTGCCTCAAGTTTTTAATGCAAGCTTCTTTTTCCTGGTTTGTTAAATTAGTTACCTGAATTAAGTATTAGGTAGAGCACTTGGTGTGCCTCAGCTGTGGGGTGGTAATATTTTGAACTGCTTAACTTGATCATGAGAGTGTATTCGGTTGTGCCGAAGTCTTGATGCAAATAAGAATGGAAATGTTCTAAGCAGTTCGTTTGAAAGGCACAGACTTTTAATGTAAACAGCATTTTAATACAGTGTGATAAAGCTGCTCTTAAGCTTTCTTCTAATCTTCACTTAATCAAGCTAGCAGGTAGTTAAAAACCTTATATCCCAGTCTAGACATCTTGTGATGACCAGAGAACTAGCGAATTATCAGGGCGAGAGCTGGGTGTGTTAGCAGTACATAGCCAGAGGAGGGGAGGGCATTCCAGGCAAAGTGGATATTAGATGTGTGCTTGAGTTTCATGCACTGATTTTTTTTTTTAAAGGCAATTGCTCTTCATGTCCTACAAGAAAGGGTTTGTGTTTTATCTTAATTGCAATCAGTTTTTTGGTACCTTTATTCATAGGTTTGAAATCCCAGAGCCTGAGCCTACTGAAGCAGACAGGCTGGCAATCGAGAAAGGGGAGCAGCCCATCAGCGCAGACCTTAAGCGATTTCGCAAGGAATATGTCCAGCCAGTACAACTCAGGTTTATTTGCTTTTAAATTTGTACTGTTAAAGCCAGATTTTAGTTCACTGATTATATGGTGATCCTGGAGACGGTAATCTCTTCTGGAGACTGCTGTGCTGTCAAGTAGGGACTTATCACTGTCTGCAACCAGACTAATATCCCAAACCATGTTCTGATTAGTCATACTGACTTCTGTTGTTGTTGCAACTGTACTTTGGTTCTGTGCCGCTCACAGCTGTGATCACCACCCACAAGAAGGCTGTATGGCTGCTATGTAAAGCGGGCGTGGGTGAGAGATGTATAACCGAAAGTGTTTCTGACTGCATTTTGAATGGATTCCTTGTTAACAGGCCGTATGAAGATAGTTTCTCTGTTTCCATTTTTTTCAGTCCTGCTGGTGTTTTACTCCCTTTCCCAGCCCTGCTGATATCTTTGCACACAGACAGGGAGACTCTTGTCTGTACTGCGCATTGCAGCAGGCTGCAGTGAATCTTCAAGGTCTTGCTGACCAAGCTAACTTGGGGAACAGTTACGCATTTTTAGCATGAATGAGGCTAATTGTTTCCTTGATAGGGGATCAAGTCAGGAGGAGACACAGATCACAACCAACATTTGCTAGAACAACTTTTATTTGTTAAACTGTTTTTATTAGTAGAATCAAGATGCAACTATGAGTGGCAGATAACTGTACGCACGGTACCCTCAGTTATTTCGTTACCACACACAGTCACTCATAGTTACCTGTTTGGAGCCACAGCAGTTTACTCAAAGTGAAGGGTTGTACTGACATGCGAGTACCTTTAAGGTCGGTGTTCAGAAAGTCACTTAGGAGTCCCGTTTTCATCGGATACCTGTGTGCATATATATATATTTAAAAAAAGAAAAAAAAGTATGTACTGTAGTTTTCATCGCGATATAGCAGCCACCACCTTCTTGGATGTGGTCCAAGTTATACAGCCTCAGCATAACCTTGATACTTGTGTGTGCACGTGGCCTTGTACAGATTTATCGGGCCCTTGGTGTTCTCAGTTCTGGTGTTATCAGTTCCTGTG